TCAGAATGTCTTTTATTACTTTTCTTTGAATGATCTTTTAGCAACTACTACCTTTAATAGTAAAGAAACACATATTTTAATGTATTTATTTCAGCTTTAAGTTTTTGTTCTGTTAAATTCAAATAAAATTTAAAATTAATACTTTAATTTAAAAAGACAATAGTGTGGTGAAGACGGGGGGGGTGGCTGCGGGGGACTGGATGGATGTGGGCAAGGGGGGTGAAAATGAGGGACATCTGCACTAGTGTAAACAATAAAAAATGTATATTAAAAAATTATATGATCCATTCTTATCAGAAGGTCTCTCCCCCCGCCCCCGCCCCCCTGATACTTGCCCATCTGTTCATTCAGCAGTCATCCCACTATCCATCCTTCCATTTGGATATATACAAAGTTGTCTGGAATGATGTTCTCCAAAGTTAAAAAGCAATGGTTATCTTTATGTAGTTATTAAGGTGATTTATTGCTTTCTCCTTTTCCCCCCTAATTTCTTAACTTCTTTTTCTTAGTGCTTTACATTTATCTTTTGTTTAAATAATACAAAAATAGTCACTGCTCTTAAAAAGAGAGAGAGGCAGGAAGAGAGAGAAAGTTTATTTTACTATGGCTGTATTAGTTAAGTTGAATCAGGAATAACCTAGAGGCTTTCTGTCCTTACTCTCTAAAATCAAGGACAAGAATTCTAGATAACAAACTTGGTGAAGTGTATTAAATAACTGAGTCAAACACAGACACTACTAGTATGTTCAGGATGAGAAAATAGTAAAGGCTGCATCTTGATGACAAGTTACTTTATGGGTTGTTTTTATGTATCTTCTTAGAGCAGCAATTTTCAACTGGAGTGCTGCAAGAATTTTTAAAACATGCAATACCTGACTAGTCAGGGGTACTGACCTCTTTTCCCTTAGATCGCCAAATTATTCACAGCTGTCTGGTATGAATGAATCAAAATTATACCTATTTCTTTTGTCAAATATATTTTTTGGTGTGCCACAGAATTTTAGTAATTGGTTTATGTGTGCTATAAGATGAAAAAGGTTGAAAATTTCTGTCCTAGAGTTCTTTTTTTTTAATTAAAACTTTATTGTTCAGATTATTACAGTTGTTCCTCTTTTTTCCCCTCCACCCGGTTCCCACCCCACCCTCTGCCCTTACCTCCCCCACTGTCCTCATCCATAGGTGTACGATTTTTGTCCAGTCTCTTCCTGCACCCCCCACACCCCTTTCCCCCTAAGAATTGTCAGTCCACTCCCTTTCTATGCCCCTGATTCTATTATATTCACCAGTTTATTCTGTTCATCAGATTTTTTATTCACTTGATTTTTAGATTTCATTTTGTTGATTAGATATGTACTTGTTGTTCATAATTTTTATCTCTTCTCCTGGCACCCCTATAATTCGGATGTTGGTTTGCTTGAAGTTGTCCCAGAGGCTCCTTACACTATCCTCATATTCTTGGATTCTTTTTGCTTTTTGCTTTTCCAGTTGGGTGTTTTTTTACTTCTTGGTATTTCAAATCTTTGACTTGATTCTTGTGATCCTCTAGTCTGCTGTTGGATCTCTGCATAACATTCTCTACTTCAGTCAGTGTATGCTTAATTTCTATTTGGTCCTTTTTCATATCCTCAAGGGTCACACTAGATTTATTGAGGGTCTCACTAAATTTATCAGCAGTTTCTAGAAAACTCTTGAAAAACCTTACAACCGTGGTTTTGAACACTATATCCAGTAGCTTGCCCTCCTCCATTTCTGTCATTTGTGACCATCTCTTTGTCTCCGCATTTTGGCTGCTGTGTTGATAGAGTGGCTTTCTGTGCTAGGTGTCCTATAGGGCCCAGTGGTTCAGCCTCCCCAATTACCTGAGGTGGACACTCTTGGTGCACCCCTCCGTGGGCTGCGTGCACAGTCTTGCCATAGTCAAGCCTTGATTGTAGTTGGTATCACCGGGAGGAATCGACCTCCAGGCCAATTGGCTGTGAGAATCAGCTGTGTCTATGGTGGGAGAACTTCTGTGCTGGAGACACCCTTCTGGGGCAAGACATGCTTCAGTGGGGATTTGGTGCTCACTGAGTCTGCCCCTGAGTGTGTCCCTTATGGATCTGAAGAGTTGTAATCTGGATGATCCCACTCTGACCACTGGGTACACTGACTCTTGGATATCTAAGGAGGTGCTAATTTAGCCTCTGCCTGAGGCTACCCAGCAAGAGCCACAGAGAGATCAGCAGATTCCTCTTCTTTGTTTGGGATTTGGAGGTGCCCAGATGAGGCCCAGCTGTGAAGCAATGCAAGCTGCCATGGGGCCCCGGGCCTTCTTTTGGATGTTCTGGGTCTCTCTGACCCAGCTGCAGTTTGTTAGGTAATCTTAGATTGCAAAGGGCCAGGTCATCCATATGCAAAAGCCTCTGCGCACAGTTTGTGTGGGGCGGGGTGTCAGGTAATCAACTGGGCGGATCAAGCAGCTATGGCAGATCCTCAGTCCTGCATCAAGAGGCCCCGGATCTCAGTGTCCTGCGGTAATTGCCGCAAGCACCTCTGAGAGAAAGCCGCCCTCGAACGCCCAATGCCAGACAGTCCAGCTTCTCCCCGTATGAGCCTGGGTCCCCAAAGACTAGCCTGGAACTGGAGTTCAGAGCAGGAGCTTGTGTCTCCCTCCTGATTGAAAAAGACAATCTCATCCTCAGTTGCCAGCCCTTTCCACGTGCGCCTCCGCACCTCCTCTGAGTCTCAGTGTGCTTTTCTCTTCCCTTCTAGTTGTAGAATTTCCACTCAGCCAGCCTTCCTGTGGTTCTGGATGATGTCCATTTTGTCTTTTATTTGTATTTTTGAAGTGGTTGTGCGAGGCAGCAATTTCAGGTGTTTACCTATGCCGCCATCTTGGTTTCTCTCCTGTCCTAGAGTTCTTGTTTATTTTTGTGGTGTTAAGGATCCACAGGAGAATGTTAGTTTTAAAGGCTCTGCTCACACAAACACACTTTGCAAGATAGGTGGCACTACACAGTCAAAAGCAGAAACAATTATGAGCTGCAGATTCTGTAACAGGTCTCATTCAAATAATTCGAGATGTCCCCACTTTACTGTTGCACAGCTATTTAGTTTTGTGCATCATGTTAGACCACCATCCACACCAGTATAGTTCTGAGATAAAGCTGATGGCACTGCCGGCACAGCTCTCAAACATGCATAGAAGAGACCAACGGGGCAGTTCTAACAGGCACAGAACAAAACTCAACTCATCACTAGTCTTGTAAAGTATAACTTAGATCAGAATATATTCCATATATAATAAATTCACTTGCATGATCTTGCACAACTCTCTGATCAGTTAGTAGTGAAAATAAACAAGCCAGCACTATGACTTAAAATGTCAAGTTTTTAAACATGAAATTCCCCAAGAACAACAGCTGGGCCCAGGTGAATTTTTAAACTACATCAGCTTAAAAAGCAGGTAATTATCTCCATTATACCTGTGCTGTTCAGGATAATTACTACATGAAAATACTTATATTGGAGCCTACTGAGTTCCAAAAATCATTGACTAGTTTCTAAAGTTAACAATGAGACCCAAAGCAGTCTATATATGTCAAAACCTTAATTATTAACTTTGCATTTTGTGTGTTTTAATTCTTCCTTTTAGGAGAATACATTTAAATTTTGGATAATACTTTTTTAATGCACTGTGAAGACTCTACTTTAAAATATATATATGTATATATGTATATTATATATATATATGTATATTTTAGAGAGGAAGGGAGAGGGAGAGAAAGATAGAAACATCAATGATGAGAATCATTGACTGGCTGCCTCCGGCAGGCCCCCTACTGACCGGGAATTGAACCGTGACCTCCTGGTTCATAGGTCGATGCTCAACCACTGAGCCACATCAACTAGGCTGAAGACTCTACTTTTAAGAGGCCAGTCCTCACATCAGAAATAACTTTAGCCCAAGAATGAAGCAAGTCAAATAACTGTTTATAGATTTTTACCAAGTTTTACCTAATTTATTTTTATATTCTCAAAATGTAGAAAAGGCAAGTTACAGGCAGAGTTCAAATGCATACATAAGCATTCTTATTAATAATAATTTTAGTTTTATTTTTAGCATAATGTCTAGAATGTTTGTCAAGGTTAAGGAAGTGACAGTGTAAACAAACAAGGGCAAGTTTGTAGTAAAATGCAAAAGTCTGAGGTTAATTTTAGACTTCTTGTTGCTCCCCTCAAAGAAACCAAACGTGACCTTAGGGGATTTTTCCTCTCCAATCTCCTTTTAACATCAGAGTACACAAGCCTAACTTGGACTTGCACATAAAGACTTAACTCAATTACTAGCCAAGGTCTCTTAGCTGCTTTCCTTCACTGGCCAGTTTTCTCTCCCTCCTCCCTGCCTGAAAGACATTTTATTTGGCACTTCAGTAATCCATCATTACTTACCAGCATTATCCTTGGACAAGCTGAATAGTGTCAATATAGATGCAAGGAGCAGCCTTATATTTCTGATATACTTCTAATATTAAAATCAATTATTAATAAAACTCCTTTTATGCTATGATTTGACATGTTTAATAAATGTTCTTTTGATTAACTATGTCTTCAAAGTAAAATATTTTGCTTAATGAAAATAATAAAATACTAATATTATAACAGGATTATTTTTTTAAGTTAAAAAACACACTCTAATATCCTATTTGAAAACATCTTATTTCAGATCCTAAATCTTGGTTATCAAACTTTTTCTAATGGATACATTTTTTAAGGTAAAAAATGTTTCAATTTTCTCACATCCTAAAAGGATAAATAATCTTGTGCACTGCAGACGCACACATCTCACTTTGGAGATTAAGGCTCACAACATCAATGGCAATACACATTAGTCACTAGATAAGCATTTCCTCTGAGATAGGCCATCTATCTCTATCTTCTCTAACTTCCACCAAATACCCAAAAAGATACTTTTTGGCATAGATGTGAAATAAAGCAACATAAGAAAATAGCTGGCTTACATCTCTGGAGAACTTGGTTTAAGTTGTCTTGCATTGTTTCTCTACATTTGGGAAGAGTATGTTCATTTGTTTCATGGATCATATTCTTCAAATTCTCAAGAACTCGCATTTCTCGAAGACCACGTTTTTCCTATCAAAAGAAAATAAGTGACTAGTACATATTGTGTTTAAATCTTAGTAATTACTTTCTGGGATTTCCACCCAGGTTTTGGTTGTTATGTTATTACTTATTACTAAAATTTACAAGGCCTTCTTCTAATTATTTGGCAATAAATGAGATGACACACAATCTGGAGACATTTTTTTATTATTATGAAATGCTTCAAAAGTTGAAAAGTTGCAATATGAGTAATAACTTTTATAGCAATATTTTAAAATGGACATGAGAGCCCGGCTTGCGTGGCTCAGTGGTTGAGCATCAATCTATGAACCAGGAGGTCACGGTTTGGTTCCAGGTCAGGGCACATGCCTGAGTTGTGGGCTTGATCCCCAGTGTGGGTTGTTCAGGAGACAGCCGATTAATGATTCTCTCTCATCATTGAAGTTTCTATCTTTTTCTCCCTCTCTGAAATAAATATATATTTTTTTTAAATGGGCATGAGAAATAAAGAACAAAAAATGAGGCCTAAATTATGACATATTTCATTCTGTACAGCAAAAAAATATATTAGATGCCCTTGATTTGATTTTAAATTTTTTTTCATTCTTACCATCTTATTTATACTCTCTATTTTTTATCTGATTCCATTTTTCTCAAGTAAAAGTATGAAGTAAAGGTAATATGAGGATACTTCCCTGTGCAGAAAAGAGCTAACACTGAAGGCCTAAGATTACTATCCTTAGAAAGGTCTGCTTGCAAGATTGGCCTTTGGCTGTGGGCTGGGAACTTGACCAGTAAATAGTTCCTTTCACTGGTATAAAACTTTCTATAAATGATAAAACACCACTTTCCTTCCGGGAGTCTGGAATTTGATACACACTAGGCAGAGATTGCCTACCTGACCAGTCCCCAGTAAAAACCCTGGACTCCTAGGCTAAAGCAAGTTTTCCTGATGGATAACATTCCACACGTGTTGTCACAGCTCACTGCTAAGGAATGAAGAACATATCGTGTGATCCCTAGCACTCTTGGAAGCTTCTGCCTAGTTTCACCCAGACTCCTCCCCGTGCACTTGTTCACTTTGATGACTTTGCTCTGTATTCCTTTGCCATAATAACACTGAGCCCCCAGAACAACCATATGCTATGTCCTTGAGTTCTAGTGAGTCACTGCACTGTGGGGAGCGGGGAGGGTCTTAATATTCCCCACTTGAGGGTGGGCTAGACTTAGTGACTTGCTTCTAAAGAACAGAGCAGGGAAAGGGAAAAATAGTAACTTGACAGTGGAAACAATGACAGTTGATATCATTAGTGATGTCATGGTGATAGCATCCCCTGATGCAATGTGATGACAAGAGCTATTTACTTCTGTGGTACTCTTCCCAAAATTCACAACCCTAGTCTAATCTTAAAAAAAACAATCAGACAAACCCAGATTGGGGGACATTTTACAGGATACTGGCCAGTACTCAAGACTATCAAGATTATGAAAAACAGGGAAAGACTAACTGTCACAAACCAAAGAAGACTAGAGAGACACGACAATTAAATGCTAATGTGGTACCCTGAATTAGATCCTGGACAGAAAGAGGACTGTAATGGAAAAACTGGTGAAATCCAGTCTGGTGTTTAGTTAGTAGTAACGTACCAATGTCGGTTTCTTAGGTTTTACCAATGTAGCATGGTAGTATAAGACATTAATAGAGAGAAAATGAGGAAAGGGTAAACAAGAACTCTCTGTACTACTATCTTAACAATTTTACTCTAAATCTAAAATCAATACAAAATAAACATTTATTTTAAAAAAGAAAGGTGGTAAACTTGATCATAAGGAAATAAAAAGTTAGTTATGTTACCGGGTTTTTGTTTTGTTTTAAGTCATTATTATGGAGCAGCTGTGGTCAGATTTTTATTCTTAATTTTCCCATAGTAAAAAATTTAAAATTTATACAAAAGTTGGGAAAATAAAACAATGAATCCTCATATTCCTATCAACAAGCTTCAAAAATTCTCAACTCATGGCTGCATTGGTTCCTTCTATAGCACTCCATACATCTCCCTACTCAATCCTGTATTCTTTTGAAGCAGATCCCAGACAATGTATCATTTCAACTATAAATATGTCAACATCTACCTTTAAAAGACAAAAACTCCTCTTAAAAAACAGATACAATAAGACCACCTCTCTCACACTCAACAAATCTTTAATATTATTAAAAATCAAGGTAGTGCCCAGCCGGCATGGCTCAGTGGTTGAGCATTGACCTATGAATCAGGAGGTCATGTTTGATTCTCGGTTGGGGGCTCAATCCCCAGTAGGGGATGTGCAGGAGGCAACTGATCAATGATTCTCTCTCACCATTGATGTTTCTCTCTCTCTCCCTCCCTTTCTATGTGAAATCAATAAAAATATACTTTTTAAAAACCACACAAATCAAGGTAGCGTTCCCTCAATTAACCCATAAATGTTCTTTTTATCCTCCAGTTTAAAACAAAATTGAAGATTCTTACATTGCAATTGGTTAATGTTTCTTAAATCTTCTTTAACCTATAGATTTGTCCTCCATCATTTTTTTTCCCTTTGCAATTTGTTGGGGAAAAAAGTGAGTCATTTATTCTGCAGTTTCCCACAGTCTGTTTTTCTGCTGAATGAATCCCCATGGTGTAATTGAACATGTTCCTTTGTCTCTTCTCTTTCCTGTAAATTAGTAGTTAGAACTAGAGGCTTGATCAGATTCAGGGTTTTATATTTTGTTTATAATGAACATTTCAGAGGTTGGTTGTGTACTTTCGAGAGGACATTGCTAGCATTCTGTCTTCATTTTTCCGCAGGAATACCTCCAAAATGAAAAATTTCCCCTCACCGACTATTTGGCTACTCTGAAGATTGCTCATTATATGAAAGGCAAAATAAAACACCTGATCATTTCCCTAAAACAATTATTTTGGTTCCCTAGTATTCTGTAAAGGTTTTTGTTTGTTTTTACATATTCCTGTAACTCAAAAATTTAAAAATGAATTTTTTCATCCATTACAGTATTTCTCCTTATTGGTGGTTAAATTGTCCTTTGTCCAGTGGGAGTCTATTCAAGTTGGTTCTGGAATGCTTTAGACCAGGGGTAGGGAACCTTTTTTCTGCCAAAGGCTATTTGGATATTTATAACATCATTTGCGGGCCATACAAAATTATCAACTTAAAAATTAGCCTGCTATATTTGATCAAACATTTAATTAACTCACCCTTAGTGCCTTGGCAGGGCTGGACCAAATGATTTCATGGGCCTTATGCAGCCCATGGGCTGGACGTGCCCCACCCCTGCTTTAGACATAACTTGAATGTTTTTTAGTAGTTTCTTTACTTCTGGTATGGCCTGATGCTCCAGGCTCATCTGTACATTTCCTGACTCAGACTTGGAATCAGTAGGTCTCTAAATACCACTAGTATTTACAAATAGTATTTGGAGACTGAGCACTAGTGGTGTTCACTCTACTGGCTTGGTCATTATTTCTAGAACTTTCAGTGGACAAGGCTAGGAGATAACTATTTTTTAAAAAGAAAGGAAACTTTTTAAGTTCTCACTCATTAGTCAAACTTAAATTCAGGACTACAGGGTTTTTAATTACTCTCCTCTGCCTCATCTCTTTCCAGTTCTCAAGTCACCAATATAATTACTCATTTGCTTTATTACCAATTTAAACAAATAATACTAATACTAGCATCAACAAAATGATTACTGAAAACAGTTTTTTTGTTTTGGGGTTATTTTTGTTGTTGTTGTGAAGGGAGATTCCTCTAGGAATGTAGTCAAATTACTGTGTTTTAAAGTTACTTAGGATAATTTCTCTCTGCATGGCAATACCAAAATCTACAAACATAGGTTTGCTTTTTTACATTTTTTAGTTGATATGGAGAGAATTACTCATTAAAATTTAACTTTCTTTTAATTATGTAAAATATTTACATGGCTCCAAAATTCTCTCTCTCTCTCTTCAAAAAAGTCTAGCTTCTATCCCTATCCTTTACATCCTATTCCCTCTATCACTCTCTCTTTAGGTAATTCTTTAAATTTTTTTATTCCACCATTGTTTTAAGTATAAGGATATATATCCACACACATCCATCAACATATATGTGTACATATACACACATGCATATATAAAATGTATATAAACATGTATGTGTACATATGTATATTTTTAATTCTTTTCTTCCTAAAAAGAATAACAGAATTTTCTTATCTCACTTTATGAGTCATTCATAAACACACACATAATATATATAATCTTTATGTGGTCTATTTGTTCTAGTGTTTAGAAAAGCTGGCATTTTTGTTCTCATGATTTTGTTTATACAAAAGAATGGTATCTCAATTCAAATAGAAAGGCATCAATGAACAGAGAGGGGAACTCTTCAGCTCCATTCAGAGTATAAGTCTTATCCTGGGGTCCACGGTTGGGATTGGGGTTCTAGAACCCCCTTGAAATTGCACTCAAATTGAATGTACATGTCCTCTTTCTATTTTTCTTGGAGGGAAAATTCTCCAAGGAGTCCATGACCTCCTAAAGTTAAGAACCACTTTATTTAAAAAGTTATTGAAAGAGTTATTTCTGGTAGCAGGCAACTTAGCAGTCACACATTGTAGCAAGGGAATTTGTAGTGTCACCTCTCTAATAGCCTGTTAATGATAATAATTAAATGATACAACAAATAGACCCAATGATAATGTTACATGAAACAGGGTGTCAGAAATAGTCTCTGCCCTTAAACTTACCATCTGGTAGATGCTTTTTTATACTGATTCTACTGACACCTATTACAAAAGGAAAACTATAACATCATCTTATTTATATATTCATTTTATTTCTGGGGCAAAAATTCTCAAAACAAAGCTCAGCATCTGGTTTCCAATGTAAAATACCCTGAAATTTTTCATATAGTTTATTTTTCTTAGATTGAAAGTAATAGCAAGTGCTCACATAATGCTTCAAACAGTGCCTGGCAACTAAGCTCTTTAAAATGTTTATAATCCT